CAGGAAATCCCAAAAGCTAGTCTTTCTACCAGAGTTGGTTGGTAATTAACATCACAGCATTTATGTTTCAGCTGTTGAAAACAATTATGTACTCTTAAGTACTCTTAAGTCTAAAAAGAACTATAGTTGATAATAAATAGAAAGCCAAACTATTGGAAGGAGGGGTTAATTGGCAGGAAAGCATCCAATTGTAGTAGCATAAACTGACTACTTTAAAGTCTGTGCTCTAGTGTAGTCTAGAGAACTCTAGGTTGGTTCCAAAACATTTCCAAAGAGCCCGTGAAGTTAAAAACAACATTTATGACGATTCTAAAGTCTCTTTTTTCTTTCCCTGCCATTATTTCTTCTGTGTATAGTAGAGTTTCCCTGAGGATCCCTTCAAGGTAGTGTTCATATGGTGGAAAGGGGACTGAGGTGTGGAAGAAGAGGAGGAAATAAGGCTGTAGAGGGGGTAAATAGACCAAAGTTTATGAATATACGAAATTGTCATGAAACCCACTACTTTGTACAACTAATACACAAGAGTAGGAAAAAAATCTGGGGGCTACATGGATGGAGCTATGGTTAAGAGCACTTACTGCTCTTGCAAAAGACCTGGGTTCAGTTCCCAGTACCCACATCAGGCAGCTCATAATTCCATTTCCAGGGGATCTGCCTCTTTCTATGTTAGTGTGCCCTTGCATGCATGTAATAATGCACATAAACTCTCTCTCTCCCTCTCTCTCATACACACATGTGTACAAACACACATGCATAAAATAATTATGAGTATTAGAAAAGATCTGTCAACTAACTCATTGTATGTCTGCTTATGCCTCTACACTAAAAATTTCCAGTTTTGAATTACATAAAATATTGATCAATACATACAAAAGAGTTGTGAGAACCTTAATAATTTTAGGAATGTAAAGACACAGTGAGAAATAAATTTTAAGGGACATGAACGTAGTTGATAAATCTCAGTTGAAATGGTTTGCACACCTACTCAAATTTTGTATGAAGAAACTAGACCACAGGGTTCATGAAAAGTGATTGCATTCGGTTCAGTGTTTTATCTTCATAACAAAACTTTAGCACCAAGGACATAGTAGGCATTCAAATAGTTCATAAATTATAAATTCACACATCCATAGGTATATTCATAAACGAAAGCTGTTAATCAACTTATTCCAGAGTATAAAGCACCAGTTGCAAACCCAAAGCCTTGTTACTGTCTCCTGTCTTCTATTCCTGCACTTTGAACTACTGAGTTCAACAGCACTTTTGGTTAATGTTTGTCTCATAACCTATAAAAAACACTGGCAATCAGATGTCTTTAGCATGGGGTCTCTCTTTCTCATGATGTGGCAGGTTCTCATGATGTGTAGGTCTTTTCTGATTGGGAACTACCAAACATTACCTGAAGGAAATGGTGAACCACCGGATAAAATAATAACATGGGTGTTTTCCCAAAACAGTTGCATTTTCCACAAACCATCCTCATCCAAATTCCTACCCACCTCTTCCTCTATTTTTGGAAAATTCTTGCATGTTAGTAGTTCCCAGAATCTGAATACAGTAAAATCATGTTTTGTTTTTTTGTTTTTTGTTTTGTTTTGGGATGAGTAAAATAATATATATGTATATATGTATACATATATAAATATTATATACTCTTTAGTGTGTTGTGAGACCATCTGTTGGGTTTGGACTAGATGTCAGAGAAGCATGCTTGCTCCTTTATGATAAGCATAGAAAATAAGAGGCTCACAGAAACCAGCAACACAAAGACTAATGTAAGTGCTGGAAGCAAGCCTTTCTCCTGAGAAACTGCTTTCAAAGGTTTCCTGGGCAAGTGGAAGAAATTCTTCTCTCTTTACTAATCCCAGTGTTACACCACCCTGTCTCCATTGTGAAAGCAACCTCCACTCTAGGGCCACAGTAAGGAGACACCCCCCACTCCTCCCCACTCTGCACCCCCATCAGGGTCTTGGGAAGTTGGCAGTCATCACCATTCAAGAAGGAACAGACGTTCTTGAGACTGACTGAATATTTCTTTGCCTGTGTACTGAGGAGTGAGCGAAGCCTCCAAGAGCTTGATTAACCTCAGTCAGGCATTGCCAACACTGAAATCAGATGCTTGTGGCTGTTCTAGAGAACATACAGGGTGATGAGCTGTGGGGTCCTGACTATTCATCATCTGATGAATATATTGCCGTGTGTGTGTGTGTGTGTGTGTGTGTGTGTGTGTGTGTGTTTCTATGGAAAAGCATCACACAGACAGTGTCCATTCATCCATCACCACCAAAGCCACACTCGGAAACAGCAAGCTCAGGCCTGGATGAGTTGTCTAATTCGTGTATTTTCTCATTATGAGCGTTTTCTTTCCATGAGGCACATCACAGCATTTTGAAAAATGGTTTTCAATGTTGCTGTTGCTTTAGTCATTTTGAGATCCTAAGATGAGTGGAGTCCAGTGTACTCGGGATGTTGCTCAGCCTCTACAACTCCATCTATCTGCATGTTTTCCTCATCCAAACTGAATGGCTTTAACTATTAAGCAGTGACTACTCACCCTGCCGACCCCTGGCGACCCCATTCTCCTTTCCTCTCCAGCCTTCAGGCTCAAGAATGCTGCCCCAGAGTTTCAATGTTGTTATCAGAAAGCAGCAGACAGCAAGGACAGTTCAAAGCACAGGAAAATAAACAACATGGCTGTAAACAGGCTTAAAAAATGGACATGTTCATTGTGTAAGAGCTGACTGAATGATGCAGAACATGGCTGTAAACAGGCTTAAAAAATGGATATGTTCATTGTGTGAGAGCTGAGTGAATGATGCAGAACATGGCTGTAAACAGGCTTAAAAAATGGATATGTTCATTGTGTGAGAGCTGAGTGAATGATGCAGGCCTGCTCTGTGCAGCCTCAGCTGGGAATCTGTGCAGCTGGCCCAATCCTCTGTCCTTGTTATTTGTATTTTGATGCTCAGTGAATGGCAGTGAGTAAAATCACCAAGGACACTGAGTTTTATAAATAAGTTTAGTAAGCAGGCAAATTGCAGAAACGGAGTCCACAAATAATGATATTCAATGATATGGTAAATGACAACCTTTGTTCACTTTATTCCAGGTAATAAAAAAGAAATTGAACCATGTACATGGGCTCATTTCTTGGGCCTAATGTGGAGCAGTTGAGGACAATGTGATGTAAAGAGCATGGAACAAAGAGCTAGGAGCTCCTGCCCCAAACCCCTTCGAGGAAACTAAGGATATGAGAATTAGAGCACTGACCATCTCTGTCATAGAGTTAGAAGAGGCAAAACTGAGATTCGAACTCAAGTTTGTCTGACTCCACAGCCTGAGTACACCAGTGCAGTGTGGCTTGAATCAAGTTACAAAACAGGATCGATTGACTCAGAGTATAGCAGCCTGTGCTGTGACACTTATAACACCACAAAGAATTCTACATTGAAAAATGAAATTTTCAGACAAATTAAACCTTATAAGCTTGTTCTAATGTTGTCTTGCACAAAGCGGGTCTGAACACCTCGGGGTGACTGATTTTCCTTAATCTTTAATGATGGGCAAATCCAGTGCATTATAGAAGGCCACTTCCTTTTTTCCTCAACAGATGTAGGTGCCTCTTAAGAATTTGATGAAAATGCATTAACTTTTCAAGCTACTGAGTTGCATCTTAGTGCATTGAGGCAGTAAATGGGTGTACACTGTGCAAGAATGGCAGTGACCTAAAAATAAATATTTGATACAAACTACTATATTCTCTTGGGGTGGGGAGGGAGGAGTAATGGATTAAAACTCTAAAGAGTCATCAGCTTCTCCAGAAAGAGGAGGACATGTGTGGCCTGGAAATGTCCTCTGTTGCTGCTGCTGTGTTTGTTTAGCTCTTTAAGAGTTCACCCCATTAGATCTTGTGGCTCCTAAAGCCAAGGGTGAGAGTTTGATCCCTATAGAGGCCACTTAAACTCAGAGAACAAAAAGCACTATTCTTTACCCCAGACTCTGCCCCAGATCCCTGCCAGGTGTCTGCCCTCTGGTCAAAATAAGACACTGGCAAAGGGGTGCTAACCTATGACAGTATTGGGGCACAACAAAGGGCACCCTCTCCATGCCACTTTCTCTTTGTGTGTGTGCTCACAGGACCTGACATCATTCATAGAGAACAGATTGCACTTTTACTTTCAGCGTGAGATGTCTAAGTCACACTGTACTAATGCTTCAGTGCCTCTTACAAAAATCCATTATTTATTTACTTGTTCTAAGTGCACAGATTGACCTCTAGCTAACTTGATCCCGTTGATAATAAACAATAAAGAAGCATTTATGATTTAATCTCTATCTTTTTGATAGAAAATAACCATACCATACTAATTAGCTGAAATCATGAATAGTTTTCATGTTAGTAAACATTAAACTATTAGAACTAAGTTCATGTACACTCTAACAGAGTAAGACTGATTTCTAATATGTACTAACAAATACATCATGAAAACAAACTTCTCAAATATCTGATGCAACTTTCCACCAGGGCTACAACCTTTAACTTTCTTTTAATTTAGCTACCTCTTCCTAATTTTAATTCTCAGCACTTGATACAATTTTTTTTGTCTCAAACATTTGCTTTAACAACAAATTTAGAACCTCTTAAAGGATTGACATTTTATATTTTAAACATGAAAGAGAAATTAAAATTTACTAATTTAAATTACAGCAAAAGTTTCACAAAGTTTAAGAAGCCTCAACAATAGTTTATATTATTACACAAACTTTAATTTATCAAATGTCACATATATAGTTCATGATATGGGGATTTATTTCATTTATGAAGTAGTCAAATGAATCAGCTTGCCCTGGACTGTAACAAAATACTGCTTGGTGACTTGTGACAGACAGGGTTTTAACCTCTGACAGCGAGATTCATTGTGGAGCAGGAGCCAATCATAGACCCGGACGACACTTGTCTCATCTAAGTCGGAATATAAAAAGCCACTTGGAATACAGTATACAGGACTCACTGGCGTGGCAGGTTGTCTCTCACACCGGACATGCACTAAGATTTTTCTTGGTATTACTCAAAAGCAAAAGGAAGAAATAAGAGCAAGGGGGAAAAAAAGATTGTGCTGATTTTAAAATGATGCAAAAACTGCAAATATGTGTTTATATTTACCTGTTTATGCTGATTACTGCTGGCCCAGTGGATCTAAATGAGGGCAGTGAGCGAGAAGAAAACGTGGAAAAAGAGGGGCTGTGTAATGCATGTGTGTGGAGACAAAACACAAGGGACTCCAGAATAGAAGCCATAAAAATCCAAATCCTCAGCAAACTCCGTCTGGAAACAGCTCCTAACATCAGCAAAGATGCTATAAGACAACTTCTGCCCCGAGCTCCTCCGCTCCGGGAACTGATCGATCAGTACGACGTCCAGAGGGATGATAGCAGCGATGGTTCTCTGGAAGATGACGATTATCACGCTACGACGGAAACAATCATTACCATGCCTACAGAGTGTAAGTAGCTCTCTTAGAGTATATCAACAGTTCTGCTGACGGCTGCCCTAGTGTTTATGAGAAACAGATCTATTTTCAGGCTTTTAACAAGCTGTTGGCTTGTATGTAAGTAGAAGAAAAAGGAGATAATTTTTTTCCCTTCAAGATTTCCTGAGAAACATATTGACAATGAAATCTGCCTTGCTTGTTTCCTTACTGTGCCAAATAGCTCAAAGTTAATGTGCTGGCCCAGCTTTAGTACTATGTAATTTTATATGGAAAATGCAGAATGCTTATGTGTTCAGTGCCTAACATTAGTAAGTCTGAGAATCCGAGATAATCTAAGCAATGTTAAAACTTAACGTGAAATTTACAATTGCATCTGTTTGTCTAAAATATGCATTAGTCCCCCTGCCCCCCACTAACACCACAGGAAGACATTTGCTGAGTGTTTATTTGAACACTGTTCCACACTTGTGTTATTTAAAACTGTCCATTGAGAGCTTCTGTGAAATATTTAATTGGTAAAGCTATTACACTGGAGAGTTAAAGAAGTTAAATATTCAATGCAAGAGCCACAGCGAAGCAGACGCAGCAAAATGATACTCATGACCTAGTATTGGAAAACGTTCAGGAAATGAGCGTTATAATCGGGAGGTTATGCTACAAATGCCTGCTTGTGCTGTGCCCACAGCCCAGTGCTGAGACTGCCCTGGCTGTGTACTTCCACAGCAACAGTGGCTGATAAGAATATTTTATCCCCTGTGAGGCGAGGACTGTCACCGTAAAAACAGCATTGCTTCTGGGAGCTTGCCCATTTCAGGCAATCACTGCTTCAGTTCTCTCAAAATGAAGACATGTGGCTTGACAGGGCTGGAGGACACGCAAGAGCTCTATGCCATGTGTCCGAGATCTTGTTTTAATATCATGCTTTAAACACTTAAAAGCAGACATGACATGGTTTGAAGTCAGTCCTTCACTAAGTAATCAGGTTACAGCACAGCAAATAATTTTCATTTATGACTCTTGGATCAATCAGTTCAGGAGAAGGCTTCCCTATTTACACGTGGTTTGGAAAACCCTAAAGAAAAGTAATTGTTAGTGTGCTGAACTTGCTGTGAAAGCCAGGCTCCAAGGCCACTGCTTTCTGACTTTTGAGATAGCTTGAGAATGATATCTGAGTTTTTGTGCTAATTACTGGCTTCGTGTTGTTCCTTTGAAAGACTATTGCAGAGCCCAAGTGTCACAGATGTACTCTATTCTCTGTCATTTTGGAGGCTCAGTCCCCAGGTAATTGAGGCCTGGGGGAAGGGTTCCTTCCTCCAGACTGACTGATACAGCTGCTCAGTGAGCCTAACTACTCAGGTTCCCCAGGAATTCTAAGTGGACTTTCCTCCATGCTGTCTCTCGTTCTCTCTAATCATCATCGTTTGCAAATTTCACACACCGTTCATTCTCTAACAAAATATCTCTCAGTCCATAGTCTTCTGGGAGCAGATCCCTTTTAAATATGTGAAAATACAGACATCTAAGAAAACTCTGACAAGCTAGAGCAGTTATTTTCTGACGTTTCTTCTGAATCATGAATGAAGTTCCACATAGTATTTTATTTTAAAAGACCACATATGTATACATTATTCCAGCATCTATTATTAAGGAGTGATTTTATTCATGTTTTGATGGGACCTAATGCCAATCATTCTTTTCTTATTTATTTGTAGCTGATTTTCTAATGCAAGTGGATGGAAAACCCAAATGTTGCTTTTTTAAATTTAGCTCTAAAATACAGTACAACAAAGTAGTGAAAGCCCAGCTGTGGATCCATCTGAGGCCAGTCAAGACTCCCACAACAGTGTTTGTGCAGATTCTGAGGCTCATCAAACCCATGAAAGACGGCACAAGGCACACTGGAATCCGATCTCTGAAACTCGACATGAGCCCAGGCACTGGCATTTGGCAGAGTATTGACGTGAAGACAGTGTTGCAAAATTGGCTCAAACAGCCTGAATCCAACTTAGGCATTGAAATCAAAGCTTTGGATGAGAATGGCCATGATCTTGCTGTAACCTTCCCAGGACCAGGGGAAGATGGGCTGGTAAGTGATAAGAGAAAACAATGTTCTAGTAACATGTTTTTTTATTCTGGATATGAAGAATAATAGTGAAAATTAACTACTATATTCTATTCTATGATCGTAAGCCAGACAAAATTGTCTTACACCAAGTAGATCTGTGCCCAAAAAAGTAGGTGCCAATCACATGTCCTGGGAAGAACTCCCTCGATGCTCTTACTATGCTGAAGACTGAAAAACAATTGTATCATGGTTCATAATTTCATAAGGAGTTCCATATTGGGAATTGGATATAATGTTCTTTTCATTGTAGGATACATAATATATTCATAAAATTATTATGTTGTTATATAACTTTGCAGATTTTAGTATCTACCCTACAAATTAAAACCTTTTCCCTTCTCGTTTGCTTCTTAATACATTGAAAAATGTTGGCTTCATATAAAGAAAAAATATTATAATTCTAATTAAAATACATTCATCTGTATAGATATACTTGATTAAATATACTATACTTAACATCCCCTAATAAATATGTTCAGTACTTACTGATATGTGTATAGATTACTTTGTAGAATAGTGTTAATAAAGCTGTAATTACCAATCCAGCTAACCTTTGACTCTTAGCTTATTTCTGAACTACTTTAGCATCCTTGCACAATAATTTACATAGGAATTTCCAATTAACTGAATAGCAAGTCAATAAGACAAGACCTTATACACTATGAAAATTAATAAAAAACATTTTAATTCCCACTTAAACCTTAGTTACTCTTATGTCCTACTGGGGCTCTTATTGGCTTCTGCTTTCAAAACCTTGATGAACATATTTTTATTTTCATCCCTTGTCAGAATTTACATCAGAATATTATACTTAGAAAAAGTAAACACAGTTATCTTTTTAATCCTTTGAATTTGGGGATATGTAGTCCAGAAATCAGATCTGTTGTGAATGAAATGTAATTGTTTGAAGTACTACACTTCCTAAGTGATCTATCTAATATATATATATTCCTCAAATGATGCTCTCTTTGACAGTACTCAGGCTTGTTTTCCTAATATAAGATAAAAATTTTTCTCTTTCATAGATAGTATTTTAATTATCAAGGTTGCTAATGGGATAGGTTTTAATTATTTAAAAGGTGGTTAATATGATATTCCTTAGAGTTTTCCTCTAAAAGGAAATGGTCTCAAATTCTTTTCCCCTCCCTCCTCCTCTGCCTCTTTCTACTGTGACCCTGGGATTGGACCTTGGGATTGAACCCAGGACGTTGCACATGAGAGGAAAACCCTCTGCCACCAAGCTACATTTGTACCCAGATCATTACATCCCATGAATGTCCTCTTTGCTCCTTTAGGGATTTTCATTCAACACAACATATGTACAGCTCCTGTTGTCACCCTGACTTCCTTCCTTCCATTGTGACCCACATAAAACTCAGAGGTGGCTGCTTTTCTCTAACTTTAATATACACATTTCTTTGAGAAAAGATCTATGGAAGAGAGACAGATGGACACTCATCTCTTCAAGAGTCTTGAGATACATGCAGCTGATGAGAAATAACAGGGATGAAAAGATGGCCTCCAACCTTCCCCCCACCCTCCCTTCTCGTGCATCTCACACATATTTGAACGCATCTATTATGCTAGTATGTCTAATAATGATATGAAAAGAAACAAAAGTTTAAAAGACAGAGTGAACTGACCACAGGGGAATATCTGCTGCTGTTATATTCTTGTTGATATGAGAGGAAACAGAAGCCTTGTGTGAATAAAAATTCCTTAATATTGTGCTTCTTAAAAAATAAGTAGCATAAGAATGATGTTTCCTCTAGAAATATTTTTTATGGTGGGAAATATCTCAGGCTTTGTTAATACAGTTGCTCTTTCCTCTTTATACAGAATCCCTTTTTAGAGGTCAAAGTAACAGACACACCCAAAAGGTCCCGAAGAGACTTTGGTCTTGACTGTGATGAGCGCTCCACAGAATCCCGATGCTGCCGCTACCCCCTCACAGTGGATTTTGAAGCATTTGGATGGGATTGGATAATTGCACCCAAAAGATATAAAGCTAATTATTGCTCTGGAGAGTGTGAATTTGTATTTTTACAAAAATATCCCCATACTCATCTTGTGCATCAAGCAAACCCCAGAGGCTCAGCAGGCCCTTGCTGCACTCCTACAAAAATGTCTCCCATTAACATGCTATATTTTAATGGCAAAGAACAAATAATATATGGAAAAATTCCAGCCATGGTAGTAGACCGGTGTGGGTGCTCATGAGCTTTGCACTGGGTTTGGAACTTCCTAAATCATGAAAGGTCTCCCCCTCAATTTTGAAACTGTGAAATTATGTACCACAGGCTTGGGCCTTGAGTATGCTATAGTAACTTAAATACAAGCTACAGTATATGAACTAAAAGAGAGAATATATGCAATGGTTGGCATTTAACCATCAAAATAAACCATAGAATAGGACATTTTATGATTTCCAGAGTTTTTGAACTAGGAGGAGATCAAATTACATTTATGTTCATATATATATGCATATATATATACATATATATGTACACACACACATATATATCTCAACTGCAATCTAGGTAAGGAAATGACAACCCTTCTTGTGGTCTGCTCAATTAAAGGGGTATGCTTTAAGGATAAATTCTTATTTCTTAACAGTTTCCCTTAATATTTACAGAAAACCTATATATAGCCTTTGTAAAGTGCAGGATTGTTATCATCATTTGAAATATTTATGTACATTTTATTAGTATTGTACTTTTGGTATGATAAAATTCCACAAAATCAGAATAGTACCTTCTATGTATGTTTCTGTTCCTATTCTAATTGGACAGTGTATTAAAACCCCATGCCAGTGGTGCTAACACCATGGGCTGAGTGGCTACTACCGGGTTCCTCAAACAGAGCACACTCTATAAAATAAGCCCCCCCCCTTCCAGGCACATTTCCATACAGCACTTAATGAGGATGCATTTTCTTTAAGGAAAGACAACTAGACAACTTTTTTTTTTTTTTTTTTTTTTTTTTTTGAGGCCAACTTTGAATTCTCTAGTTCAGTGGGAGAAACCACTTTCTCTTAAAGGGCAGCCTAGTATTAATTTCTATCAAAATTCAAAATCACAGCCTGCCTTTGTCACATTGCAGTTTCGTGGTGAAATAATGGAAAGACTGATTTTATCAATATTGTATAAAAGACTCTGAAACAATTGCATTTATATAATATGTATACAATATTGTTTTGTAAATAAGTGTCTCCTTTTTTATTTACTTTGGTATATTTTTACACTGATGAAATTTCAAATTATTAAGGTACAAAGACATGTCACATATCACAGAAAAGTGACTGCCTCTATTTCAAAGCAAATTAGCAGATTCAATAGTGGTCTTAAAACTCTGTATGTTAAGGTAAGATGATTATATTACAATCATTTTGTATTTTTATAGTATCAACATTCACTTATGGATTCATGGTGGCTGTACCTATGAATGTGAAGTTTCAGTGGCTTTCTGTTATTGTATTCAAATCTCAATGCTCCACTGTTTTAAATATTATAAACATTACTGAACATACCAAAATTAACTCTAGTACCTAAAGAAAAACATACATGGTGTCTCAATAAGAATAGCTACTTTTATTTTATAATTTGACAGTGAATATTTTCTGCATTTATTTACTTCAATTTTATAAAATGAAATTTTGTTGACCGAATGTATTCTACTTAAAGCTAAATGAAGTTATTTCTTACATAAAATGTGTAGAAACTATAAATTATATTAAAGTGTTTTCACATTTTTGAAAGGCATCATGGTTTTATGTTATAATGATTAATTGTGGGTTTTTGAAGTTTTACTTTATATTAAAGCTTAACGGCTTAGTACAAATGCTTGATTTAGGAACTTAAGACATATTACTCTAGTTCTGAGTGAAATTCCCAGTGAATTTGCTTTAGATATACAAAAGCAGGTTAGTATCTGTTCCATTTCTTCCTATCTTGACCTAAAATGTATTTATTTCATTGGATCAATTTCAAATACATTGCAATTGGCAGTGGTATATAGTTCCAGGGTAACAGGTTCTGTTGAAGCTTCAGGGATACAGGAGACTCACACTTCTTCCCTTAGCCATGATCAGTCATCTGTTGGTAGACACCCAGTCTAATTCCCATAGCTTGGCTGTTATATGTATAATGCTGTAATAAATATGGTATGCAGATGTGTCTGTAGTGTGTAAGGTGTATATCTCCATAGTAGCATGGCCAGATTATATAGTTGTTTAGTTTTTGGAGGGCGAATCCAGTCCCTTTAGCAACAAAGCTCCCTGCACACTCTCTGACTAGTGTCACCAAATATGGCATTTAGTCTTTCAAGGCAGTGTTTTCTCTACTCTTTCCAGAGGGGTGGGAAAACATTAGAAGGTCTCTGGTAGTTTTCCTAGGAAATAATGCACAAGGAATTTTTTCTTATCTGTATGCTACCACTTTTTATTTTTCATCAAATTCTAGGCTGCAAGATCTGTGGAGAGAACAAAAGTGCCAATCATTGCCCTCCCTCAAGAAATTCACACTTGAGCAAGATCAGAAAAGCAATCAGTGGCATAAGCCCTTCAATATAATGGTACAAATGGCACTGAGTGACATTACCATGGCTGCCATATGACCTTTATATATAGAGTGTGCTGTGAGAAAGAGGAAGAAAGATACTTCAGACCAAAGGAGAGCATAGAGAAGCTCAAAAGTAGATGTGGTCACAGCAATGTCTGTAATAATGTAACAAGTGTCGTGAATAAGTAAGGACAAAGAGAAAACAGGGAAGAGAGAAAGTTCCCAAACAAACATAGGCATGAAGGCAGGCACAGAGAGCAAGGAACCTTCCCAGCCCTAAGGAGAATTACCAAATGCTGGAGGGATAGGCCTTGGGCAGTGCGTGGTTTGCAAGGGACAGTGGGTAGATCAATACCTGGGGTTAGCCTTTCTTAAAGCTATCAACAACAAGCCAGAGAAACATTTAAAGGAGGAAACATATGGGTATGTACCCTCTTCTGAAATTCACTTTTAATGTGGTACTTTAACCTTTCTTGAATCACAGTCCCACACATCCAAGAATATTTAAACAGCACTATTGTTTTTTGATGGATTTAAAAAAAAAAAAAGAACAAAGGTGGGTGAGAAGGGTCTGGGAAAAGTTGGGGTTTTGTGGATATCATCAAAATATGTACAAAATTCTCAAAGGGATAATTGAAGGCAGGGTTTAAATGAATCCACCAGACCCAAGAGAATTGATAAATAGGTATTTATTAGAGAAGCACTTACACAAATCATAGTAAATAACAAGCACAGTCTTCCTGCTCCAGAAGATGCAGTCTCTGCCCTTTCAATGCTCTCATTGCAACCCAAGAGAATGAGCCAGCTCCTCCTCTTCCTTATAAGGGGTCACATCTGCACACCTAAAGCCATGCCCATAGGATGTGGCCACCACCACAAGTTCATTAAGAGAGCAAGATTCCACTACAACCAATAAAAATATTTTTAAAAGAAAAAAAGAACCCACTGGACTAAAAAAAAAAAAAAAAAAAAAAAAAAAAAAAAAAAAAAAAAACAGCATTCAAGTGTCCTTGATGACTTTTCAATTTGGGGGAAGGGATGTCAAATTTGGCGTGATGGAGCTGGGTATATAGAACATTCAAACTGACTGAGGACATCCAAGAGCACTGGAACTCATGCTCTGTCTTCTGCATCACACAGACTCAGAGGCTGAAGAAATTTCTTGACACATTTCTTCATCTGGTATGCCAGAGTGTGATAGCAATGAGTCCTAGGCCAAGGACATCACACTGGATCCTGAGCTCTCAATGGCTTCAAAGAAGGTATAAGAGGAGATCCTCACAAGGGTGGGTCATTGGATAAGTTGCTACCTGCTAGGCTTATCTGTGGATGATGGAATGTGGGGTATCAAAGACACAGATAGCAGTTTGGTCATCAAGAATAGGTGTCAAAAGGGATGGAACTGGAAATCTTTATATTACATAAAATGATCCAGACTCAGACTCAGAAAAACAAAACAAAACAAAACAAACAAACAAACAAACAAACAAAAAAACCCCAAAACTCCCAGAACTTATCACTTGGGAGAAAGAAGGAGATGAGCAAGAGGGCAGAGAGTATATCCAGAGGATTCCAAGTTGAGTTTCATGTGTTGGCGGGGAATCTGGGGTCCCTTCTTTGGTTCTTAGTCTCAATAACAAAAGTATTTAAAATGGACTCAGCAGGAAGCTTGAAAACAATATGCCTAGAGTTTAACAGAAAAACAACTAGTGAGCAAGCTGCAAATCTCAGGAGTTGGTCAGAGGATGCAGATAAAGAAGAAGGGGCCACTCCCTTCATGGCCAAGAGAACAAGCATGCTCAGCAGGGGCTCTGGCAAACAGCCACATAGCAAAAGGAAGAAAGAACTTCAGAAAAAGAATGAGGAAGCCCAGGGCCAGAGAAAATGTGTCAGGGATTCAGATGTGCCAATATTCAAAAGGAAGAAAGATACAGAAATAAGTTATACTTTCTGAATAACTTACATAAGAGGGTTGGCCACATGGCAGTAGATCTTCAAGGAACAGCACGGAGTGCAGAGATTCTGAGAAGGAAAGATGTATCACCTCATTAAGGGGATAATTATTCTTTTCATCTCCTTCACTAGGCATTAAGTGAATCAACCTTCCTGAGGGTTGGTTTCTTAGGCAAATGATTGACAGACTCAACTAGATTAGTTCTTAAGAAAGAAGACAATACTATGTAACACTCCAGTCTTTGGAGTAGATAAAAATGCCATGTCTCCACCTAGGGCCAGAGATATCCTTTTATTTTGATCAGGCCTTAAGCACTGGCAAAGCTCATGTTTAACTTTCCAATGTTAGCAGAAAAATGAGAGAGGGGGTCCAAAGTTTAGAGACAAGGTGTCCATTCCCAATGGCTTCTAAGGCTACTGTGACATTCCAACCCCAGGAATAGAGACCCTAAAATCATCTAGAAAGTGGACTGGAATTAGAGAACCCATTCCATCATGAAAACCCAGAGATCCATTTCCAAAGCTGCTCATCAGAAAGGCCCTGTGTCTGGACTGGAGTTGTCAACACTGCCTCACATTGCCTCCAGACAACAGTGTTCAGATCAGAAAGCAAAGCACCATTGTGGCATTCCTAGCTTCTGGTGAGGACAGAACCAAGGACATTCCCTGATTCTGGCCAAGTCCAAGAATGGAATTAATATTTTTTTAGGGGTTTCTGTACCTAAATGTACCTAACCAGTTTCTATTTCTTGTCGTCATCAGGAGGATGACACTGGGATGGGGATAAAGGAAAATGAAGCATAAAAAGAGGGCCACAGGGAAATGCCTGAATGAAGTCCATGCCTGGATTTAAAGTAGTAAGCCAGGAAAGCCTGAGAACTGTTTGGAAGGGGCAAGAGTCAGTCAATCATCCCCAGATTCCTCTAGAAAACTACTGA